TCTCTTCTCATGAGGTGGCCAAAGTATTGGAGCCTCAGCTTCAGGATCTGTCCTTCCAGTGAGCACTCAGGGCTGATTTCCTTCAGAATGGAGAGGTTTGATCTTCTTGCAGTCCATGGCACTCTCAAGAGTCTCCTCCAGCACCATAATTCAAAATTATTTAATTATTTACTTGTGTTTTATTCAGTGGGTGGTATATAAATCTAATAAAAAATAAAATAAAATAAAATAAAATAAAATAAAATAAAATAAAACAGCACACCAGTTACCCAGCCCTACCCCTGCACGACTGCTTCAGCTTGTTCAGGCTCCCTACGTGACTTCTGGGCCTGATGATCCACTTCAGCATATTGGGCACTGCCCCCCAGAAAAAAACACCTTGATCTGCCCTCAACCAGCACCCACATCCATTCCTTCTTACTTATAACCCTTTCAGAGGCTAACCTTGGCTGTCAGCTTCCTGCTCAGTGTCACCACCATGTGTTTTACATTTATTTATTGCATTTTACACACCACCTTTTCCTCCAAGGAGCTCCAGGTGGCATACCTGGTTGTCCTCAGTTAATCCCCACAACAGCTTTGTGAGGTGGGTTAGGCTGAGAGGCAGTGACAGGCCCAAGGTCACCAATTGAGCTTCATTCATGGTCAAGTGGGGATTATATAATGAAGCAAGAGAAAGATTTTTAGCACCTATAATGACAAGGTCCCCTGCCCAGAACCCCTCTGACATGATTTTACATCTCCTCACAGACACAGATAAGTATGTGACCTGGCGTGTAGCACTCTTTGCAACTGCTGCTAGGAAAATTAGAGCAAATTATGTAGCCAAGGTAGCCACCAACTGTAAAGGAGATGAATTTATTTGACCCTATCTACATCAACTTATATTCTATCTTTATCACCAAACTCCAAATATAATTGCACATTGTACTAATTAACTTTTTTTAAAAATATATTAGTGGCCATGTGACAATTTTAGCTTATAAATTTTATTGTTTAATGTCTTAACTTGTATATTAAGGTACTTTTATAGCTCTGTTTAGAGTAGGTAATGTCTTGATAATATAAATGTTTTAGGTTTTTTGTATCAATCCAGTATATTTTCTTTTAATTGTTGAATGATTCTGTGTACATTGCGGCAGCCTTTGGCTATGTGCAATAAAACTGAATGACTGACAAATGGGGATTTGAACCCTGGTCTCCCAGGTCTCCCAGGTCCTAGTCCAGGACTCTAACCACTCCAGTACATTGGCTCATTAGTGTAGAACTCAGCAGGTAGGAGGATGAGGACAAACTAGAATTAGTTCTGCTATTGGCTCTGGCTCTTGCTACTGTTGGCCTCTCTATCTCCCCAACACCACCACCACCACCACCAATGTTTCATGTCCTCCTGGATTGGTTGCTTTTAGGGATGGTAAGTGTTAGGTTGTGGGTGAACATATCAGACGACACAGCGATTCTCCAAACAGCTCTTGTTTATTCACAGGTCAGAACAGAACTGAACTGAAGGGTTCAGCCAGCCTGCTTATATGGAGCTCCAGTACAACGTAACTGTAACAACTTTCTGTAACTATCCAATCACTGAATGTCACTTTCGATCCCTTATTTGCATATGTGGACCTGAACTATATACAGTATCCCCCTGCTGGCCCAGGGTGAGAACTTCAGTACATAACAGTAAGAAGGCATCGTTTATCCTTCCACCCTGTCTTGGTCAAGTGCTGCCCTGTTTCCATTCCACTGCTGTTCATCTTCTGCCCAAAACTACGCTAGTCATCTCGCTGTCGGCTGTGAATCCGCCCCATTCATTTCAATGCAAATGGTCTGGAGGGACAGAATCATTTATGGTGAACCACTGTGGGAAATATGTTCTTAGCCAGTGCAAATGCCACTGCCAACATAAGAGATGTCCCTAGCACATCCCCACAGTGAACACGCAGTTTTTGCATCAGCAAGTGGGAGCCACCACTGCTTACAGTATCCCCAAGGTGATTCCTTATTTATAACCCTAGCCCAGGGGTCAGCAACGTGTGGCCCATGAGCCGGATGTGGCCCATGAAGACCATTTTACCAGCCCACAAACAGCCCCCGAACCAAGCCGCCCACTCGGCGAGTCCCCCACGCGCTGTGCTAAACCAGCGCAGTGCAGCGCGGGGACTCGCTGAGCGGTGCCGGAAATCGTGTCTGTGCATGCACAGATACCGGAAATTGCGTCTGCGCATGTCCAGACGCTGAAAACGCTTCTGCGCAGGAACAATTTTCGGCATCTGGGCATGTGTGGAAGCGATTGCCGGTGCCGCAGACATGCGCAGACGCGATTTCCGGCATTGCGCTGCACCATTCCAGCCCACGGACAATCTCTGTGGGAGTGATCTGGCCCCTGCCCTAGCCCATTCAAAATTTATATCCATTATTGTATAAGGGATTATTATTATGACTGGAATGTAATGGAAATTAATAATACTTCGCAAGGCAGAAATAAAGCAAATAATCAAGTCATCAATTATAGCACATGGGGGGGGGGGAGCTTATCTAAATTATATAATTTGGTATTTGAACTATTGGTATTAATAATTGTATTATAAATTGGTCATTGTTATAATGAGGTTATTATTGGATTGTATTTGAAAACTAATAAAAAATTATCATCACACACACACACATACAAAATTATATCTGTTATTTATCACAACCATTTCCCAGCTGATGTTTCTCTTTATGGTTGGGATACATAAAATATTGCAAAGCGATATTGAGAAGCTTTGTTTGATGTAATATATCTAATTTTCAGATATGCAACAATATGTGAACTTTTGGCAAGCGGAACGTAAACCTTCGAAACTTCCTGCCTATTGACATCAAGGAGTCCACTTTACCACATTTTTCCCGGCACCTGCTTAAAATATTTTAGGCAAGCTTGTCCAAACATGTTGACGTTGATGTGTTTTAATCTCTTTCACTTTTTTTGTTTTTAATTTGTAATCTTAATATTTGTTGTAAACTGCTTAGAGATTTGACTACTATCTAGTGGTATATACATTTTGTCAAATACAATATAATAGATTTTAACAAAAAATGCTTGGCTATTTCCAGACAGAAACAATGATGTGTATCTTTTAACGACTAAGGGAAATCTTAGACATTACTGAAATGGAAGAGAAGTTGTCTGAAATTACACACAGGCAAAACGAATTAATTAAGCAGTTAGATAAAAGTACTTATATCTCACATTTCCATTTCAGTGCAAATCTCAAAGCCCAGCTTACAAAAAAAAAGCTCATCCCATAATAAAATATAAGATGACATCCAATAAAACAATTGAACACAATAATAACATAGTAAACACCCGCTACAAGATTTCAGTGGGAATGTGTAATCCATCACACAATGACTGCAACACATTTGATAGAGGAATACCAATAGAACGATTATTTGTTATTTCTTAAATCCATTCTATATATGCCTTTTTTTGGCAACTTTCAAAATAATAAAACTATACATGGCTTTGTGAATAATTCACTATATCTACTTAGCAAACCATTTCTATCCTGTTTATTTAGGAGTATAGAAAGAAGTTTTAATATATTTCCTTTCAGACTATTCCACTTCTTCTGGCAGAAATGGGCAATCTGACGGGGGGAGGGGTGTTCCAAAACTCTTGGCTCAGTTTGACAGGCTTTCTTGACGCATCATAGGTAGTGTGGCAGAAGTTCTGTGATTGGGTTTTGGGGGATTTCCCCCCACGTTTGCTGTGCATGAAAAGCCTTGTGAGTGGAAACTGGTACCTGATATATTTTCACACTTTTGGAGTAAAACTGAACCAAAATAGGGGACACGTTTTTGCAGCGGCGTAGCGTGGGTTGTCAGCACCCGGGGCAAGGCAAGTAATTTGCGCCCCCTAACCCGGGGCAAGGCAAGTAATTTGCGCCCCCTAACCCGGGGCAAGGCAAGTAATTTGCGCCCCTAACCCCTAACCTGCCGCCGCTGCCAGCTTCTTCTTGCTGCTGCCTGGGCTGGTCTGGTGTGGTTCTCTCCCGCGCTCAGCGCTGCGCTGGGCGGCCGCTGCACTGTCCCTCCCCAGATAGTCCCTCGCTCTCTCTCCGCACCGCACGCCTGGCACCCACCCCCTCCACAGTGGGCGGCGACCCAGTGGCTCGGATCGGATTCGCACAGCCAGCACTGCAGTGAGAGAGAGTGAGTGAGCCAGGTAGGGGCAGAGAGCTGCGAGTGCGAGCGCGCCCCCCCCCAGATGTTGCGCCCGGTGCGGCCGGCCCCCCCTGCACCCCCCACGCTACGCCACTGCCTTTTTGCAAACTCTTTTGCCACCTGTGAAAAGGCTCAGTTTTGGTGATCTTTTGCAAACCACCTGCTTTCCTGGGTAATGATCCCAGAGCAGGGCAGAGAGGCTGGCAGCGACTGGGAGGGGGTTGCCTGTGGGTCTCCAGTGGACTTGGGCCCTTGATTTCCTGCTGCTCACCAAGTGTGTTTCCTCTCCTCTGTCCCCTACCTTCTTTCCTTCTTTTTCTCCTTCCCCCCAGTTTGGCCTGGGTGCAAATGATGAGGTCCAGCAGTCCGTCACCAAATTCTGCCTGCAACAGTCCAGGGCCCTGGAGTTCCTTCGAACGAAGCAGCAGAGGGATGCTTGTTCTCGGCACATCATCCAGGCATGCTGCGTGTCCCTCCCATTCTGGGGGGCAAGAGGCCTGTCCTCTTCTCCCTGCTGCTCACTCCCTGGGCAAATGCAAGAGTGCAGGAGAACCAGCCAGATGGTGTAGGTTAGGTGGTAACCTCTAGTTGCACACCAAGGATCCCTTTGCCTTCTGCATCTGGGCTGCTGCTGCTCATCTGTCTTTCAGACCTGTTTGCTTTTAAATGCAGCCTTGTTCCTAGTTTGTGCTGGGAGCTGGGTTTCAAAGTAATAAAATGAAACCAACTTTGCAGGCAGCCTATCAGAAGCACTCCCTCGTCACCCCCTCTCTCTGCACCTTCCTCGCTCAGAGTCAACTTGGGAGCACCAGTATCTCTGCCTGGCGCGCGATGAGTGCAAGGAGATCCTTGAGGGCATCCAGGAGGAGTTGAGGCCGGCAGAGAATCACGGGCGGCTGGATGCCTCCCCAAAGCGCCTGGACGCCAGATCTCTGTGGAAGAGCAGCCACCCACTGGCCAGGCAGTTCCAGGTAGGGCCTCCCCTTCGCCCTCCCTCCAATCCCTGGCCTTGTCCTGCTCTTCCCCTCTGTGAAATGCTGCCTTTTTCTGCCCCTGCTGTGCAAAACCTTGATCTCAAAGAGCTCCATCTCATCCAGGAGGGGCCTCTGCAGCTACGCAATCAACAAGAAGAGGACTGTGGGTATGTGGAAGAAACAACCTCTCCTGCCAAAACACACCCATGTGGCAGGTCCTCCAACCAGGTGTCAAGGAAATGAACAACTATCTGCTTTTTAGAAGTCATCTGAAGGCAGGCCTGTTTAGGGAAGTTTTTAATGACTGATGTTTTATCATGTGTTTAATATTCTGTTGGGAGCCGCCCAGAGTGCCTGTGGAAACCCAGCCAGATGGGCGGGGTATAAACAATAAATTATTATTATTATTATTATTATTATTATTATTATTATTATTACTATTTTGCCTCCCACAAAAGTGCACCTTTCACCACAAAAATATCCAAGTGTAACAATTTGGTGCAGCCCAATGCTTAAAAAAATACCCTGTTTCACCGGGTTCTAATTTAAACAGTACCAGGTGGCAGATAAATCATTATGTTAAAATCCATCATTGTCCTCCAAATAATTTAAGGGAATGAGCAAAACAAGGTATGTTTCCCTTCCTGGCTTTCCCCACCACACAGAAAAAAACGCTGAATTCGTTATAATTAGTTTTGTTCTCCACAGATACCTTCATTTAGCAATACCACTATTAAACAAGCAAAAATACAAATTGCATGCGACATTTATGTGATCATAATCATTCCTCCTTTGCCTGCCAGAATTTTTTTTCTCCTCAGAGATGAACCTATATTTTTTACAGATGGCACAGGAAGAAGGAGAGAGAGGGGGAGAGAAAGAAGAGTGAGGTCTGTGGAACTCGCCATTATTCCTGCGAGGGCCCGAGTTCATTAGTTGAAGCTGACGCGTCTCGTCGAGGTGCAACTGATCGGCAAATGGGAAATGAGCCGGGGTGTAAATTCCCAGCAAACAAAATCATTAACATTTGCCGCCTGCATCCGGAAAACCTGGTAAATCAAAAGCGGTGTGACGTATCGAGGCAAAATATCATTGCTAATTGGGATTAATTTGCTCCAGAGGGATTGCTGACCTTTGCAGGAGGAAAAGAAAGATGCTTGTTAACTTTTGTTTCTTAATTGCTCTGGGAATGAAGATGGGGGTGGGAAGGAATGGAGCATTTGGAAGGAGGCGACACGCTGGTGGCAAACCAACCTTTCTCGAGCAATGGATGGCTCTAACATGCTTCCTTCTGAATTAAAATAGGAGGAACATTACCTTCTTGCAAAAAAAGGGGGGGCGTTTCAGGCACTGGGCTTCAACATCTGTCTGCCTCAGGAGACAATGGAAGACTTTACCCTTTGGAGGGAAAAGTCAAATCATTGGAGAGTTACAGTGCATGTTGTGGCTTTAGAAACCAAATACATGTATAGGTACCAAGTTTATGGGCCCCAGTCCCTTCACCCATCATAAAATATTTAGCAGGGCCATTCGGCCCCCAATATTTTTTGCAAGTTGGCACCTCCATCCCTCCCTCCCTTGGCCTGCCACCTCCCCACCAGAAGGGCACCACGTTTTTTTCACGACCTGCCTCCCAGCACCATTTCTGAGTGCATCTGAGCAGGGCCGTCTTTAGCATAAGGGACGCGGGTGGCGCTGTGGGTTAAACCACAGAGCCTAGGACTTGCTGATCAGAAGGTCAGCGGTTCGATTCCCCCCGATGGCGTGAGCTCCCGTTGCTCAGTCCCTGCTCCTGCCAACCTAGCAGTTTGAAAGCACCTCAAAGTGCAAGTAGACAAATAGGTACTGCTCTGGCGGGAAGGTAAAAGGCGTTTCTGTGCGCTGCTCTGGTTCGCCAGAAGCAGCTTAGTCATGCTGGCCACATGACCCGGAAGCTGTACGCCGGCTCCCTCGGCCAGTAAAGCGAGATGAGCGCTGCAACCCCAGAGTCGGCCACGACTGGACCTAATGGTCAGGGGCCCCTTTACCTTTACCTTACTTTATTTACATGGAAACACACACAGAGCACTGCAACATGGCTCCCTCTCTCTACAGCATCAGACAGCAAAGAGAAAAGGAACAAAAGACAGTAGTCCCACATCACGGAACACAGTAACACAAACATCCTGTCTCCGTCACTTCCCACTCTGTGGAGTCAAAACATACACCGTCATGTGATAGACCAAAATCCCATGACTGCAATCATAGAACAGGAATTCTAACATTCCTTCCTCAAGGAACTCAAAGTGGGTTACATGATTGTGCCCTGCCTCATTTAACCCCACAACACCCTCGTGAGGTAGGTTAGGCTGGGAGGCAGTAGCTGGCCCACAGTCACTGAGTGAGTTTCATGGCTAAGTGGGGCTTAGAATCCTGGTCTCCCAGGACCTGGTCTGACAATCTAACTAACACCAGAGGGCTGGGAGAGTTTTGTGCCCTGCTGTCTCTGCTCAGACCCCTCGGTCTGACCGTGCGATCTTGCATTAGCTGGGATCTATTTGCAAACAGGGAATCATACTTTGCATTGGCAGAAGCAGAGGGACCTCCTATCGATTCGAGTTTACCTTGGCTGGCCTCGGGGTTATATTGGGCTGTGTGACAAAAGCTCCTGGTGTCAGGCAAGCATCTTGGCAACCCAGCAATTGACCTTGAACTATCAGCTTGTGCTTCGGTGTTCCTGAAACTGTAATGGAAGCTTATCTCTCGGTGCTAAAAATAAGTGAATAAGTGACTTTTTCTTAATTATTTATAGGCCATTGTGCTGCTTCCTTTTTTTCCAGCAAGAAGCTAGTGCCAGTATAACTATTCAAATTATATAGTATCATCACTGTTTCAGGACCAAGAACTGCCAAGAAGCTACTATTTGCATGTCGAGTTGGTGGAGGGATGAGAAACTAGTATAATGTGAGGCAGGGAAGGGAATGCATGGGGAGCAGCCGATTCAACACATCGTTACTACAATATGTGGCTTTTTTCTTCTGCTGAAACAATAAGCAGGTATAAGGTTGCAACACTGCATAGTGTGGTGTTTGAAGGGTCAGACAAGGACCTCAGAGACCAGGGTTCAAATTCCCACTTGGCCGTGAAGCTCACTGAGTGGGGATCCACAGTCTCAGGCTAACCAACCACACAGAATGGCTGGGGAAACCAAGCCAGATGGGCAGGGTATGAATAAGAACTTCTTCTTTCTTTAAAGATGTTCTTGGGCTACATCATCTCTGTTATCAGATCATAAAGTCCTTTTTCCTTTTTTAAAAATATTTTTTATTAAGTTTTCCATTTTAACAATCCAATCAGATCACATTAAATATTCCAAACTATACAAATACATATCATATAGTCCAAATATTTTGCCAAATGATAAATTTTTGTTGGGGCTTCCCATGCTTCAAGTTCAGTGGGGTCCAATCATCTTATGTTTCTACTGCTTTGAGTTCCCAATAGTTCCTTCTTTAAATCTTCCTGTTGTTATCCTTCCTTCTTTCATGGCCTCTGAGTTGATACTCTAGTTTCACCTCAGATCGTATAAATCTTTTGCCTTTTACATAAAGTCCTTTTTCCAATCATTTACAGTCGATATGAGACTTTGACGCTGTATACAGTATAAGTTTGGGGGACGTGGGTGGTGCTATGGTCTAAACCACTGAGCCTCTTGGGCTTGCCAATCGGAAGGTCAGCGGTTCGAATCCCAAAGCCACGCCAGGGGTGAAGGCATCCTCTGTTATTTGTCCCTGTGTCAGTTTCAGCCTTTTGGTTATCTTCACTAGTAAGGCTGTTTCCAATACAGTTTGGTACCTGTAGTCCATGCTCACTCCTAACAGGTCCTTCCAGTGTTTACCTATGATGCTCCTAACTGCTGAGAGTAAGTGGGTTAGAAGCTCTTTGTAGTGTGAGTGTGCGTTGTTGTCTTGGAAAATATTCAGTAGGGCTAGTATGGCTTCTAATACCTGTTTTGTTATTTTGCATATTTCTTGTAGGACTGATATTTCTAATCAACTTCGACAAATTTATTGGTGCCTAACTGTTCACTGTTTCTGTGCCATTTCTCCACTAACAAGAAACTCAGTGCTCAGTAGACATTGATAATAATATCAACAACAATAATAATATCAATAATAATAATAATAATTTTATACCCGGCCCATCTGGCTGGGTTTCCCCAGCCACTCTCGGCAGCTCCCAACAGAATATTAAAAACACAATAAAACATCAAACATTAAAAACTTCCCTAAGCAGGGCTGCCTTCAGATGTCTTCTAAAAGTCAGATAGTTGTTTATTTCCTTAACATCTGATGGGAGGGCGTTCCACAGGGCGTGTGCCACCACCAAGAAGGCCCTCTGCCTGGTTCCCTGTAACCTCACTTCTCGCAGGGAGGGAACCGCCAGAAGGCCCTCAGAGCTGGACCTCAGTGTCCGGGCTGAACGATGGGGGCAGAGACACTCCTTCAGGTATACTGGGCCGAGGCCATTGAGGGCTTTCAAGGTCAGCACCAACACTTTGAATTGTGCTCAGAAACGTACTGGGAGCCAATGTAGGTCTTTCAGGACCCGCAGTCACCCCACAAACTTTTGCCAAAGTCACAAAGCCAGTGAAAGCCAAATGAATTGCACGCATCACCCAGCATCCTCCGAGTGCTCGAAGAGAAAACAGTGTTAACGATACTATGATTAACTTTTAATGATGATGCCACTGCTTAGACAGGGTTCGTGCCGCTGGAGTTCATGCGCTGTCGAGAATTCACTCTGATGCCTTACCATCTTCTGCAGTCGCAAAGATACTTTTTCACAACAAAGGAATTGCCAAGATGACTGTGAAGAGGTGATAATGGAGCCAATTATTATGCCACAAAACAACAACAGATGTTGCGTGCTTTTCGTGATATGTCACCCATCTTTCATGAAATTTCCAGTGGACATATTGCAAAAGAGGGAGGATAAATAGTTACCTGATATGTTGA